AACTTCCCTTGGAGTAAGAACTGAGTAAAGTCATTGGGAGCCTGCAGAAGTTAATGCAGAGAGACTGCCCGCTCCTACTCTTGTGTTTCAGGGTCTGGCTGTTAACACAGAGGCTGTTACCTGCCCTTTATCCGCAGTAAGGCACGGGGCAGCTAGGGCACCTAATGGGGAATCCTTCTAAGATGTTTTCAGCAACTTCTCTCCTCAAATTATTCTTGAGTTCAGCTGAGCTGTCATGCCCTCTCCTTTCAAAAAAAATCCCTCAGAAGCCCACACTCAGCCCTGGACATTACAATCCAAATGGCTAACTGCTCAAATGTAGGCTATATTGTTAGAAACTGAAAATGAGATCTTCTAATGGAAGGCGTAAAACAGATTTAACTTTGTGAATCCCATTCCACAAGCTCCTTTCTCCAATAATGACTGTGGCAAGGAGTTCCACAGGTTAACTATTGATTATGTAAAAAAAATTGTTTTGCTTGTTTTAGATGTTCAGACTTTCAATAATATGGAGTGTTCTCAGGTTTGGGTGTTTTGAGAGCGAATAGATATAAATCCCTAATCTATGTTCACAATCAATATATTCCTGGGGCTGAAAGTCAGAAGGGACCATTACATCATGCAGTCTGACTTCCTGTTGACACCCACCCCATGTTTTATGGAAGCTGGCATATGCATATGCATAGCTTGAAGATGCTTTAGATAAAATACCTCATGTAACAGGTCATCCTAAAAGTTACAATCTGATGACTCTCTACATCCTATTTGCATGCGTGTATCAATCTTGTGTGAGTACAAATATAAAGTGTAATTCTGGTTTTTCATAGAATCACAGAATTGGAAGGGATCTCGAGAGGTCATCAAGTCCAGTCCCCTGCCCTCATAGCAGGACCAAATACTGTCTAGACCGTCCCTGACAGACATTTATCTAACCTGCTCTTAAATATCTCCAGAGATGGGGATTCCATAACCTCAGTTTGGAACTTTTTTCTACTGTCCAACCTAAACCTCCCTTGCTGCAGTTTAAGCCCATTGCTTCTTGTTCTATCCCCAGGGGCCAAGAGGAACAAGTTTTTTCCCTCCTCCTCGTGACACCCTTTTAGATACCTGAAAACGGCTATCATGTCCCCCCTCAATCTTCTCTTTTCCAAACTAAACAAACCCAATTCCTTCAGTCTTCCCTCATAGGTCATGTTCTCTAGACCTTTCATCATTCTCGTTGCTCTTCTCTGGACCCTCTCCAATTTCTCCACATCCTTCTTGAAATGCGGTGCCCAGAACTGAACACAATACTCCAACTGAGGCCTAACTAGTGCAGAGCAGAGCGGAAGAATGACTTCTCATGTCTTACTCACAACACACCTGTTAATACATCCCAGAATCATGTTGGCTTTCTTTGCAACAGCATCACACTGCTGACTCATATTCAGCTTGTGGTCCACTATAACCCCCAGATCCCTTTCTGCCGTACTCCTTCCTATACAGTCACTTCCCATTCTGTGTGTGTGAAACTGATTGTTCCTTCCTAAGTGGAGCACTTTGCATTTATCTTTATGAAACCTCATCCTGTTTACCTCAGACCATTTCTCCAATTTGTCCAGGTCATTTTGAATTATGACCCTATCCTCCAGAGCAGTCGCAACCCCTCAAATTTGGTGGCTGAGCGCTGCGTGGGGGGCCAGCCGCTCCCCCGGTGGTATCCAAGGGTGGTCCCTGCTCCGGGACAGCTCTTTTCCAGCAGGCTCCCCCCATCTCCAGCCACCTCTGGCTGCTTGCTGCCAGGGCTGGTGTCACCTCTGCCGCCTGCCCCTCAACCCTTTGCTTTCCCCCATCACTGTTCTCGCCCTGGGGCACCTAGTAACCCCCCTGCTTCCCTTTGCTCCTCTCTGCCCTCGGTGCCTCTGGCTGGGCAGCTCAAGCCCCTTCTGTTCTGGGACAATGGCCAGGAGGAGCCAAGACCCCGCACAGCCCTGGCAGGGGGGGATCCCCTCTGCCCCTCAGCTAAGCCCTGGAGTGGTTATTCCCAGCCTGTCTGTGCCCCAGCCTTGCGGGTCCCCAGGCAAAGGTGCTTAGCAACATCTTCACACACTGCCCTCTCCTCTAGGGCTTGCTCTAAGGTGGTGGTGGTGGGGTTGCTTTGTATCCTCGGCACCCTCCCACATGGAACCACGTCACTGGCCAGTTTTGCTGAAGCCCTGGCAGCCATGTTCCAAGTGGTCTGGTGCTCAGTGCGCCCTGAGGGCTTAACCCCTTCCTGCCCACACTCGAGTCCGGGGACAAGAGTTGGCTGACAGGAGAACCTGTACAGACAGTCTACGTGCTGGCTAAATGGGAATACTGTGACGGCCCTGCAGTAGCATCTTCAGAGTAGAGGAGCCCTCAAGCAGATCTCTGAGAAAAGCATCCAGTCTGGTTGGGTTGATCCTGTTTTGGGCAGGGGGCTGGACTCGGTGACTCCTGAAGTCTCTTCCAGCCCTGGGATTCTAGGATTCTAGGAGGTGGGTAGTTGATTCCAGCAGTTAGTCATCCTTAGCTGTAAACGTCTGGCCTTTATTTCCAGAGGGAATATGCCCATGTCAAGGAATATGCCTGAGGACAGGACAAGAAGCAATGGACTGAAATGGCAGCAAGGAAGGTTGAGGTTGGACATTAGGAAACATTTCCTACCTGCAAGGGTGGTGAAACACTGGAGAAAGTTGGCCAGGGAGGTTGTGGAATCTCCATCTGTGGAGATATTTAAGAGTAGGTTAGATAGACATTCATCCAGGATGGTCTAAATGGTACTGGGTCCGGGCATGAGGGCAGGGGACTGATGACCTCTCGAGGTCCCTTCCAGTTCTAGTATTCTATGATTCTATGATTCCAGCCACTGGACCTAACTCTGCCTTTCCCTAGTAGATTATAGAACACTGTATCACCCATGGTTTTCTCTCCATAGTTGCTTCTGCTTGCTAGTCTTTCTGATAAATACATGGATGAAGCTCTTGCTGCCGCTCACTCTCCAGCATTTCCTCCAAACTCCAATCATTGTTCGGCCTCTTTTCAGCACCCTCGCCAATTCCTCAACACCTGTTTTGAAATTGGACTCCAGAAATGGTTGTGTCAGTTTCGCCAAGGCCAAGGCCGTGCAAAGATACGATCCTGTCTCTGCTCCCGCTCACCACTCCCTCCGCCCATTGGGTCACATAATTATACTGGGAGCTCAGGATGAGCTGTAGTCAACAATGACTCCAAAACCCATTCTTTGAATAAGGAGACGCTTACTTGAATGGTGTGAAGAGTGTTGCATATAGGCCTCCGCCAAAGCTATTACTTGATATTACACATACATTTTGGGGAAATGCATTAAATCAGAGGTTCCCAAACTGAGGGGCATGAAGAAATTCCAGGGGGAGTGCAAGGCGATCCAGGCCTCCCTCCTCGTCAATCTCCCCCTCCTAGAAAGAACCCGGTTCGTCCAGTAAAAAAGTTCAGAAAATACCAGATGTGAAATGTCCGGTATTTTCTGTTTCTCCTGGCTTGGGCATCTGCTGGAACACACTCACCGGATCACATGGGCTGGTTGGGACGGGAGGAGGATGGAGTGTCCTGGGCAGACTTCATAATGGCCACCTTAAAAGGGCAATGCTCTTAAAAGAGCAACTTTTTTTTTTGGTCAACAAATTTTTCCCTTTTTTTTACATTGGTCCCAGGGCTGCGACTGTTTTTTGGCCCTGGCCAGATTTTTTTTTTCTCAACAAATTTCAGCTATTTTTTTTTGTGGGGGGGAGTGTGTGGATTTCTCAAAACTCAAAACGTGGGCATAATGCCAAAAAGTTTGGGAACCACTGCATTAAACTGTAAGGTCCTGACCACACATGACTTAGAGAATAACAAAACCTGCTGCCGATTGCATTGCGGTGAACATTGTTTAAGGGGGGTGGTTGTTGTCTTAGTCTCAGTAGGATGCTGGGCTCTGGAAGGTATCTTTGGCTTTGTATTCGTTTCTTTGTAACTTTCAGCCCTCACGCCTTTTACATTTTGCACCTGATTCTAAGATTGTTGAGTGCTGCAACTTTGTCACTTTTAGCCACTGTGCTTGTAAGGTGCATTCTGCCCTGTGATAAGAGTGTGTGGGGGAGTGGACCATGTTTGGGGTAAGGGACACAGCAAGGCTAAACCCGTGGAGCCAGGAGCCAGGAGCTAGGTAGTGACTAATTAAAGACCCAAGGCAGCTCTAAGTAAACAACGGTCCCATAGTGAGGGAGGTCTGGACATGCTCCTGAGAGACTAACGTGGAGGAAGGACCCCTGCATGCGTGACAAGAGTGGCCCAGTTCCAATAAAAGGAGCGAGCTCATGGCAGAAGCCCTCTTTCTGACCAGCTCACCAGCCGGGATCCATGGCGAGAGGCAGACCTCCGGAGTCAATGTGCATTGGCCTGCTCTAAACCTTTTGCATGTGTAAGTGTGTGAGGGCAAGAATGATGGTGTGTCAATGGACTAATGAATGTGTGTGCTTGTGTTTTTGTGGGTGATGCTCACTCCTCTTGAGTTTAACCCCATAAAGCATTGTTAATTTCTCATTTAATAAATCCATATGAGAGTACTCTGGGTGGTCTCCAGTGAAATTTGGGGTAACAAAGAACAGGTAATCTCCCATGAGAACAGTAGCAGTGTATGTTATGAAGCTTCAGGGGGTAGCCGAGATAGTCTGTACAGGTAAACTGAGAAAACAAGTGGTCTGGGAGCACTTTATAGACAAACAAAATATGGAGATGGGATCGTGAGCTTACATGGGCACAGCCCACTTCTTCAGATGACCGGAGTCCTTTTTTTTCTGGGGGGAGATGAAGTGGTCTGACATAAATGTTGTTTCTCCATCCAGGCATTTGTACTGAGAGCATCATCCTGGATCTTGGGCACATAGAAGAAGCCAGGAAATCTAACGAAGCCAGGGGATCTAACGGTACAATCAGGAGACACCATTCTGTGACAGAGTGGGACCTTTCTACTCTACTCCATGTCAGATTCCAACACAACTGACTTCACCAACACCTCCACCTTCATCCTGCAGGGCATCCCTGGCCTGGAGACCGCCCATACATGGATCTCCATCCCCTTCTGCACCATGTACATCATAGCCCTCCTGGGGAACATCACCATCCTGTTCATTGTGAAAAGGGAGCTGAGCCTCCATGAGCCCATGTACTATTTCCTCTGCATGTTGGCAGTAGCTGATCTGGTCCTGTGTTTTTCGATTCTGCCCAAAGCTCTGAGCATCTTCTGGTTCAATTCCAGTGAGATAGAATTCAATGCCTGCCTCGCCCAGATGTTCTTCATTCACTGCTTCTCAGATATCGTGTCCGGGATCTTCGTGGCCATGGCGTTGGATCGCTACGTGGCCATCTGCCATCCCCTGAGACATTCCACCATCCTGACTAACCCTTTGGTGGCCAAGATAGGCCTGGCTGTGGTGCTGCGTGGTGCCATGCTCACACTGCCCATTCCTGTCCTGGCAAGACAGTGGCCGTATTGCAGAACCAATATCATCCCCCACACCTACTGCGAGCACATAACTGTGGTGAAGCTGGCCTGCGCCGACATCCGCCTTAGCAGTTACTACGCACTCTTTGTGCTATTCTTTATGAGTGGGCTGGATATTTCTTGTGTTGCCATGTCCTACACACAGATCATCAGGGCCGTCTTCCGCCTCCCCACAAAGGATGCCCAGCTCAAGACTTTTGGCACCTGCAGCTCCCACCTCTGTGTTAGCTTAGTTGTTTGCATTTTGGCTCTTTTCTCCTTGATCACCCATCGGTTTGGCCAGAAAGTGCCTTTACATTTCCACGTTCTCATTAGCAACATGTACATCCTGGTGCCCCCCATGCTAAACCCCATCATCTACGGGGTGAGGACCAGACAGATCCGGGACATGCTGCTGAAGCTGATGGTTCATAAAGGGACTTACCGGTAATTTTTTTTGTCTCTTAGGGCTCGGCCTCTCAGACGGATCTCTATGCAGAACTGGCTGGTGACATGGTGCTGGGCCGTCTTCCCCAAATCACTCCCTGGGCATTGAAAATGACATTCAATCTTTCCCTGTTCTCACAGTGCTGGGTCAGTGATTCCCATATGAGGATCAATCTATGCAGAACTCTTTGAGTTTCCATCTTTCTAATTGCTGGTACCCGACACCTGACCCAGTTAAAAACTGGAATAAATTACCTAGGGAGGTTGTGGAAGCTCCATCACTGGAGATATTGAAGAGGAGGTTGGACAGACATCCAACAGGGATGGTCTAGGCCAGGCCTACTCAACTCTGGAAGCCCGAGGGGTCACAATGATACTCGCAGCTCATACTGAGGGCTGCAACTTAAGTATGGTTGCACATACATGCAAATATTAATGCAAATATATGCAAATAGCTTCTTTCACACTGATGGGCATGAATACAAAGCCCTTCCCACAATGCCCTGGCACTTCTGGCACCTCCTCCCTGGGGGGTAGAAATGCCGATACCCTGTACCCATCTGTTCCAGCCAGCCCATCCGCTTGTGTCTTTCACTTGGCCTGGGAGATGCCTCGCCATTGTGGAGAGTGTTCCCAGTGGAGGCCATGTTCAAAGGATCCCACCCGTGGGCTGCGTGTTGAGCCCCGCGTAAACCCAAACCGCACCGCAGGCCGCAAACAAACAGGCCGTGGGCCACATGTGACTCACGGGCCGTGTTTTGAGTAGCCCTGATCTAGACAGTGCTTGGTCCTGCTATGAGGGCAGGGGAGTGGACTCGATGAGCTCTCAAGGTCCCTTCCTCGTCTCGTGTTCTAGGATTCTATTATCCCCGTTATTTTGCTGACCCCTTCTGCCAGCGCTCTTCCCTTGCTTTGCCCCCAAGATCTCCCCCTGCCTCTTGCTCCTCTCCTCCCCTTGTCCTATCGCTGTGAGAGACCTTTCCCTTCACCCTCACCCCAAGTTCTTGGGCTGTACACAAAAAGAAACGGACTAGAAGTCGGATATTTAGGCCCTGTTACATGTACTGGGGTTAGTTGCCAACAAACGTATCCATAGCTCTGATCTGCCCCTCTCCTTAGCTGGCATAATTATTCTGGAAATGGAGACTCTTACCCCTCCCCCTTTCAGTTTTTGGTGATGTTCTGCCTTGGAGGGTGCTGAGTCTGTGGTCTCCATCCCTCCTCTTTCATGTCCCACAGAAGGAATGAGGACCAAGAGGTTGTGATATGGTTGGAGAAAGGAATTTCTTTGGCCTTTTAGTGGTTTACATCTTCCTGCCAATACCCGCTTGCCTCTCACAACTAGTTGTTGGGCCTTGACTTAAAGAATGTGCACATGTATTATACTCACCGCATGACCTGTATCACTTTTTAACTGTTCTTTTCTATTCCCATTATATTAACAACCCTTCTGGCCATGCAGGAAAAAAAACCCACACGCAGTGAACATAAACATAAGAACATAAGAACAGCCAGACCAACGGCCCATCCAGCCCAATATCCTGTCTGCCGACAGTGGCCAATCCCAGGTGCCCCCAGAGAGAGTGAACAGAACAGAAAATCATCACGTGATCCCTCTCCTGTCACACATTTCCAGCATCTGACACACAGAGGCTAGGGACACTATTCCTACCCACCCTGGCAAATAGCCATTGATGGACTGACCCTCCATGAATGTATCTAGTTCTTTTTTTGAACCCTGTTAAAGTCCTGACCTTCACAACTTCCTCTGGCAAGGAGTTCCACAGGTTGATCGTGCACTGAGTGAAGAAAAACTTCAATCTAGAGAGGCTAATGAGGGTGACTGAAATTGCAAATCAAGCCCGGGATTTAAATATCCAGCGCTTGATTTGCATGTTCCCAGCCGGTTGCCATTTTAAAAATCGATTAGCCCAAAGTAACTGCCTGTGTCTACACGGGAGTCTGATTTAAACCCCCTAAATCGAATTAGCTGGTAAACCTCATCGCAGGAGGCATACCAGCTAATTCGAGTTAGCGCGTTAAATTGGAATCCTGTTTCACTGCCGCGCGTAGACACGGGCAGTTACTTTGAGCTAGTCAACTTTTAAAATGGCGACCATCCGGGAACATGCAAAGCAAGCACTGGGTAGTGTAGACATACCCTAACTGAAAACATAGACTCATAGAATCCTAGGGCTGGAAGAGACCTCTGGAGTTATTGAGTCCAGCCCCCTGCCCAAAGCAGGACCAACCCCAACTCCATCATCCCAGCCAGGGCTTTGTCAAGCCAAGACTTAAAAACCTCTAGGGTTGGAGATTCCATCCCCTCCCTAGGAAACCCATCCCAGAGCTTCCCCACCCTCCTTGGGAAACATCCACCAGCAACCATGGGAACACGGTATTCTCAGGGGGAGGAGCCTGTTTTACTGCCATCGGTGGGCCAGATGGTTCAGGACTCCCATATTTATATCTCCTATGTTTACATGGGCACAGTTCCTCCTCTAGATCTGCAAGCCACCCCAGCAAAGAATCCGTTTACTGCTAAATGGTCTGACACGACTCCTTTGCCTTTGCAGTGGCTCATGTCTTTAAGGCCAATACCTCCACCACTAGTGTGGCTTGTTCCACACAAACCTGTCGTTCGATCAAAAGCCTTACTACGAAGGAGAACAGTTTCCCAGTTCGCCCCGTACACCACACCATTGCACAGGCCTTTTTTGTGCTATTCCTTTGAGGCCTTTGAGAAACCCCCCACATCTCCTTAGTCTCGTCCTGGGCTGACCACACCCCTGGAATGGGCTCTGATTCTTCCATATCCCTTTATTTTGAAAAAAATCATTATCCTGGCTTGCCAGAAGCCCAACTACCATTGCAAGAGCTGGCAACAAGGTCTCCAAGCAGTTGTACATAGTGCTGGGGATGGGGAGGGTATGTCTACACTGCAACACTATTTCGAAATAACTAGTGCTATTCCAAAATAACTTAATCCACGTTTACACAGCAGGCAATTATTTCAAAATAATGTCAAAATACCGTCAAGCTGGAGGACTTCTTACTTCGACTCCTGTAGTCCTCATTGTATGAGGAATAAGGGAAGTTGGAGGAAGAGTTCTCCATTTCAAAATAAGTGCTGTGTAGACATTCCCTATTTCAAAATATGCTATTTCTAAATACGATACATAGTTGACGTAGCTCAATTTGTGTAGCTTATTTCGAGGCAAGCCCTGCAGTGTAAACACATCCAGAATGAGTCACCTGTCCAACGTGTTACATTCAAATACGGGCATCAAGGTGTTAGAGGCTTTCACCTTCACCATCTCCCCTTGCTCAGGTCCACAGACAGAGGCTATGTCTACACTGCAGCCTTTTGCCGGCAGAGAGTATGCTAATGAAGTGCTCGTTAACATTTGTTGCGTTGTCATTTGTATATTCTCTGTTGATGCTTTTTGCGCAAAAACAAACAGTGTAGACGGGTCCATTTTGCGCAAAAAATTCCTTTGGCGCAAGATCCTTATGCCTCAAAAAAGGCGACAAATGATGGGATTATGATTTTTTTTTACAACGTGGCTACGTCTACATTGCGCATTCTTGCAAGAGCCGTTCTGCCTGAAAATAAGCGGCAGAATGACTCTTGCTCCAGAGGGGATTTTTGCGCAAGATGGAGTAGTGTAGACTGCTCTTTCTTGCACAAAAGCCCCTTGCGCAAAAATGGCAGCTCATAATCATCGCCATGCCTCATTTGCATAGGTTCTTGTGCACGAATGCGCAATGTAGATGTAACCTGTGTGTCATGTAAGGTATGAATGGAAAAGTTACGATGTACTGAATACGATGCAGTTATTTTTGTGCATGTGTGATTTATGTTCCTAAAGGATCAGCATATCCAATGTGTTTGCTTCTGGGTAGCACCCCCAGATAGTTTACATCCAACCTAGCCAGTATCTCATGGATGAAACAGTCAAAGCAATGGCCCATGAAGGGCATGTCCCTCCTCGGAATTTATTTCAAAATAACTTATTTTGAAATAACAACTCTCGAAGTAACACTTTCAAAATAACCATATTCCTTTTCACAAGCAGGAGTTATTATTTCAAAATCACAAGTCCCTTATTTTGAAAAAGTAGGCTTGGTAATGTGGATGCTGGCCTTGTTATTTCAAACTAAGGGGAGTCGTTTCAAAATAACGCCATAATGTAGACCTCTGGGAGGTATTTTGAAGATCCTTGAATGAACGGTCCTGCACAGTATGATAATAGTTACTGATGAGATTTCTGCTCTCTGCTCTCCTAGGGTACATCTACACAGCAACATTCTTTCGAACTAATTAGCGTTTCTTTTAAATAACTTAATCCACGGCTACATAGCAGGCAGTGATTTCAGAATAATGTCGAAATACTGTCAAGCTGGAGGACTTCTCACTCCGACTCCTGTAACCCTCTGGCTACGTCTACACTGGCATGATTTTCCAGAAATGATTAAAACGGAACAGTTTTCCGTTATAAGTATTTCCGGAAAAAGCACGTCTACATTGGCAGGATGATTTTCTGGAAAAGCACTTTTTCCGGAAAAGCATCCGTGCCAATGTAGACGCGCTTTTCCGCAAAAAAGCCCCAATCGTCATTTTCGCGATCGGGGCTTTTTTGCGGAAAACACTACTGTGCTGTCTTCACTGGCCCTTTTCCGTAACAGTTTTCCGGAAAAAGGACTTTTGCCCAAGCGGGAGCAGCATAGTTTTTCTGGAAAAACCCTGACAATTTTACAGTAAATCGTCAGTCCTTTTCCGGAAATTCAAGGGGCCAATGTAGACAGCTCGCAGCTTATTCCGGAAAAGCGCCTGCTTTTCCGGAATAAGTGGCCAAGTGTAGACACAGCCTCATTGTATGAGGAATAAAGGAAGTGGGAGGAAGAGTGCTCTGTTTCAAAATAAGTGCCGTGTGGACACTACCTATTTCGAAATAAGCTATGCAACTGACGTAGCTTCATTTGCATAGTTTATTTCAAATTAAGCCCTGATGTGTAGACACATCCTTGGACAGCTCTGTGGGTCTACAACTAGTTTGTTTGTCCCCTCAGGCCTCTTCTCCTGGTCAGTCTATTATCTGCCCGCCCTCCTAGATATGTACAAGGTATCAGACACTACTGAGACCTGGGCATTATCCTTAGTTGTCTTACCAATCAACAATCATTATTGAATATACACAGCACAGCCACTTCCATTCTGACCCCGCAAGGGGCCCAAGGGTTCTCACCTCCCTTTGGGAAGGCTCCTTAATTACTGTTTACTTCTACAGCTGGATAAGTAGCTCAATCAAGCTTATGTCCAACCTGTTTACATTCACATGCTGGATTTCTCACTAGAGTTTAAGCAAACCCGCTGGGACATCACTGAGCATTATAATAAGTGGCAAAACCTATGTGTCAGCTCTCTGCATGGGTTGTTGCGGCAGACGCTAGGCTGAGAGCGGTGCAGGACACAGCTGCCTGAGGGAGGTTTCCAGGGAAGACACTTTGGTCTCAGGATTCACAGGTACCTTCGCTTTCAAAAGGGCTTTCTTGCTCGACAATCCTAGTGCAAGGTGAGTATGATAGTAGTAGTAGTTCTGCAGAAAAGGACCTGGGGGTTACAGTGGATGAGAAGCTGGATATGAGTCAACAGGGTGCCCTTGTAGCCAAGAAGGCTAATGGCATATTAGGTTGCATTAAGAGGAGCATTGCCAGCAGATCCAGAGATGTCATTATTCCCCTTTATTCGGCATTGGTGAGGCCACATCTGGAGTATTGTGTCCAGTTCTGGGCCCCCCACTACAAAAAGGATGTGGACACATTGGAGAGGGTCCAGTGGAGGGCAACCAAAATGATTAGGGGGCTGGAGCACATGACCTATGAGGAGAGGCTGAGCGAGTTGGGTCTGTTTAGTCTGCAGAAGCGAAGAGTGAGGGGGGATTTGAGAGCAGCCTTCAACTTCCTGAAGCGAACTTCCAAAGAGGCTGGAGAGAGGCTGTTCTCAGTAGTGACAGATGGCAGAACAAGGAGCAATGGTCTCAAGTTGCTGTTGGGGAGGTCTAGTTTGGATAGTAGGAAAAACTATTTCCCTAGGCGGGTGGGGAAGCACTGGAATGGGTTCCCTAGGGAAGTAGTGGAGTCTCCATCCCTAGAGGTGTTTAAGTATCGGCTTGACCAAGCTCGGCTCTTCCAGCTCTATGGTTCTACAATTCTATGATAGGACAAAGAAGAGGTCTGTGCTTCTTGCTGCTCTGCATCGCTATTAACAGTCCCAGGGCCTTGCCAGTGGTCATCAGTTTGCTTCACTACCATTGGCCAAACTGTCGCCTTTCTGAACAGTCGTGCCGCTTCAGCTTTTTGCTGCCAGCCGTGAAGTGGGTTCATTTGAGTACCACAGGGAATCTGCAGCAGGAAAGGTTTTAGGTGGCGTACAGTGCAAGTCCAACATTTGAGGTTGTGGCCTGGGGTTTGTTCAGGGCCTACTCACACACAACTCCTCTTGGAGTAAGAATTGAGTAATTACCTCAGCAGCCAGCTGTGTGTTAATGCACAGACACTGTCACCTCCTCTCCTTGCATATGTAAGGGGACTGTTAGCCCCTTACTAAAACTCTGTAGGAGTTTTTGGTTTGCCAGCTCTCAGTATCAAAAGGGGAAGGGTCCTTGAGACTGACAGACCCCAGAGACAATGGAAAGCAGCCAACACTCCAGCTCAGCCTGATTGACAGGTTGGACAGGCCAGTTAGGAAAGCAAGAGGCCAGGCCCCGTCCTCCCTGTGAGCTGGGATTGTTCTGGATCTCTCTGAGCAAGGAGAGAGCTGAGAGACAGCTAAGAGCAGTGCAAGCTGTGTGCAGAAGAAGTCCTGCAGCAACAGAGGCAGGCACACACAGCCCAAGGAGCGCAAGCTGTGTGGAGAGGCAGTTTTGCAGCAACAGAGCCAGGCACACACAGCCCAAGGAGTGCAAGCTGTGTGGAGAGGCAGTTTTGCAGCAACAGAGCCAGGCACACACAGCCCAAGGAGTGCAAGT